CAAAACAAACCGGCAATATAGTTAAACCGTTAGTACTTTGTCAGGCTTAATATTTATCAAGATACCACGCCCAAAGCTTTTGCTTAGCCATGTATTCCGTAAAAGAAGACCTTAACCTAAAGTCATTATGTTAATGGTTTTAATAAAAAGCCTAATTAGTTTGTCTGCTTTTGCACATCCTCCTATTAATATCTTTTGTACATCCGCACTAATGTGTTTTTATCTAGATATTCATTGTTACAGTATCTTCTGGTATTTTCCTATTCTGATATTTTATCATTGCACCTTCACTCTTCCCTCCTATTTTGTATGGTCTCCTAATATTTAAATGTTTTTCATAAAAGATAATACAATGAAAATGAATGTAACAAAAATGAAAAGACAATTAAGAAAAAGGCATTTTAAAACAGCCCATTAAAAAGCAACAAAATCTACCTGCATTGCAAATTACTCTAAACCGTGTAATACGTGCTAACACAGAATGTTTGGGGTTAAAAAGCTGTCAAGTTACAGTGTTAACCAAATGAAAGTTGCTGTTTCCGGTTTAGGTTTAAACCGACGGATATAATTCGTAGTTTGTATGTTTTGCAGTATTTGAACACAAAGGCGATAGGAAAACCCCAACACCACAGAAGATGGTACTTACATGGCCCAGCGGCAATCTAGTAAGTTAAATAAAAAAACAATAATATCAAGAACAAAGATATTACTACTAACTTTATGTGAATTCAGACGGTAATATTTCATTCCGGTCTATTCTGATGTTGCTCGATCGCTGTATGATAGAATAGAAGAACTACGACAGATGTGGAATATTAATGCAGCCGTACCTTTTATTACAATGCATTCATGTGATTGACTTTCAAAGAGTAAGCAAGCGCGGCTGAATAAAGATGATTTTAATCTTTTAACGAAACTTTTTCTTTATATGGAATGCAGTTGGAGACTCAACCAATCACAGAGCTTGAGGAACTAAGATCACGGGGTTTGTGAACAAAGCCACATGGGACTGCCATCCTCAGGTCGATTATTTTCATTTCTCGCTCGTCGGTCCTCGGTGAATCACCGGATAGTTGACTTTGTGCTGGCCAATCTTGAGTAAGCGTCCATGGTGCTTATTTCTGCCGGAGGGACCGAGGAGCGAGGAGCGATAATGGAGAGTCGATAATCGGAGGAAACCCACCAGACCATCCCTCGATGAAATCCTCAGATACTCGCCCGCCCCTCAACTGTGTTGTTACGTCCCCCCCGACACTGATTGGACGATGCAGCGCATGCCACTCGCGCATACACTATATATACAACATATATATACTATAATAACATAATATCAGTCTCTATATATATACATACCATATACATATATTATATATATTTTTTTATATACGAATGGTTCATGTACAACCCACACAAGTCTCAATCTAAATTAAGTCTGTTGCTTGGATACCACTGATCCTGTTACAGCGTAATATAAAGGTACATAACGATCCATAGTGTATGATTAGCATCAATTACTAGCTAGTCGGCTAGCTGCCTAGCTGCTAGCGCCGCGACCGCTTCGTTTTTCATCGAAAATCCATCATATCGCTCACATTTGCATGGGCGTTATTTCAAACACTCCAGACTATATCGGGTCACACTCTCGGGCCACTCGAAGATTAAAATGCGACCTTCTTCTTCGAGAGACGACGTCAAATGACTCGTTCAATTATTAATCGTTGGGGGGGGCGTGCGATAAAGTTGTGCATGCCTTAATGAGAGGATATACGGGTACTTCTAAGGCATGACGCGGTATCTGTGACGTTTTGCTCTCCGTCAAAAGTGGGGGACATTTTATCTCCATGCGCCAATAGCCAGCTCTATGAGGAATTATGAGGCCCCGCCTCCAACGCTGTATCCAGTTCTTATGTATTACACCCATGGGGCAGATCGGGTATGTGACAGTTCACACCACACAGAGCCCGGGGTGGTACTAGCGCTTGTCATCGTTTGCATCATGGCGTAACGTTTCGTGCCTGCTTCATAAAACCAACCGCGCGAAGATTCCCTCCACATCGACAACAACCAACACTTGGCGGAACTGTATTTAAGCGCTGGTGCTTTGGTATGCTCTTATGCAGTTGTGTACAAACCTGGATAAAACGAGGGGCATTTTGTTGTTGTTCAGGAGGTTGATCCCGCCCATGCCCCTGCCCCCGCCTCGACGTAAGAGAGACGTAAGCGGCGCCGCCTCTTAGCTCCGGAATATTGCTTCTAGACCGTCAATTTTTTGGAGATGGAAACGAACCGGATTCCGGAGCTAAGAGGCGGCGCCGCTGCGGTGTGAAGAGGAAAAAACGGCACTTTTCAGGCTCTAGCTCTAGGCCCTGAAAACGTGGTGTGAAAGGGGCATAAGTGCCGCCGAAATGGACCGATGCGGTGCTTCCCTGATTGTCAAATACCGATGCCGATGGGAACACATTGCAATCAGTTGAAAGCTCTTTGCGTCCGTTTATGGAGCTGAAGGAGACTCGGCGCATCACAACTGCACCTGCACGCCACGGGACCCTGACCAAGCGTCGCTCCTGGACATTCAGGGAGTGAGACTGTGTTGATTTGGGAGCACTAGAAAATGTTGTCATATTTCCTCAGTTTCGAAGACTACACAGTTAACTGCTGGGCGTTGGAACGCTGTTAGCTGTTGCTTGGTGCCATCCGTAATTTTAGCACACCTTAAGTAAATCAGTGACTTCCTACAACGTACTGTACTGTGCATAGTGCTGAGGTTACAGGATTCTTCTTGTTGCTGACAGTCTGGCCATTCGCAATCAATCGACCCATGAAAGAAAGAAGGCTAATGCCATCTACTAAATACCATCAATAAATACCAAAATCTAGTAGGGATCAGTGAATGAGTATGAGTATATGTATATGTCAGAGGATGTAATCAGTGCATATATGCAACTTTTGGGGGAAACAAATTGGCGTTGTCAACTGTCATCCGCTGCTTGTATTCGGCATTAAAAAAAACATACCACTTCTGTGTTTTAGTACGTCTTTCAAACCTGATGCAAATTGTGCCTGACCACATGAACCGTAAATGGTACGACAAACCATGCCCTAGTAGTTTACACAGTGTTAGACACTCGCCCAGGTAACTTGAAATACTCCCTTTTTTGGCAAGCTACCACTAATGGACATTTCTGATAATTATTTTGTATTATATTCTCTAAATGTTATCTCTAAATGCCTTCTCCACATTTCCCAGTAGCAAGGATACCTAAAAGATCCGGCCTTTAATCTTTAGGCGTTCATTCCGGCAGAACTTCGCCTGTTCAGGACTGCGATGCCTAAGAACCCGTAAGCCCCGTAGAGAGCCCTGAAAACTCACTTAAAGTCAACTTTGTCTGTGAAAATCAGCCACCAAGTTCTCGTATAAGGAACTTTACCTCTTTTTGCCTCAACCATTGAGGAATCGTGTGCCTGAATGCCTTTTGTAAAACACATTTTCAGTTGCCATTAACAATGCTTTTTCGTACATTGGAAGGATCTCCACAAACTTCGACATAACTTGTACAGTATCTCGCTGTGTATCAGAAATTATCAGTTTGATTGTGTATTATTGGTGGAATGATGGTTAGGGGCTCAGAAATCCTCCTCTCTGTCTAAAAGTATTGCCCTCCAACTTCCCTTTAAGCACAAGACAGGTGGCTCCTGTGACAACTAAGCTGTTTGAAGTTAAGAAGGATCATTACACAAACACATGTGTGCACACAAACACACCTGCAGGTAGACTTGAACCGCAGGTCTTATCAGGTTGCCCCAGCTGTGTTGCCAGACGCTGGCCTCCACTCCCCGTCTGTCTGCCAGAGTTAAACTGGGGGTGTTTAAAATTAGATTTAACATCGATCATTTCCCCAGCCTGAATGGGGCCCAATGTCAGAGGCTGGCAGGGGCAATCCCTCACTCCCTGTCCGTCTGCCTCACCTCCACACACCATCAGTCAGCCCTGGGAGAGGGAGGGAGTAACGGAGAGAAAAAAGAAAAACAAGGATAAAGGAAGGAAAGGACAAATAGAGATAGAAGGAAAGGGGTTGATATGAAGGAAAGGACGTAGGAGGGAGCGAAAGATGATGGAGATAAATGGAAGGCTTGAGACATGGAGGAAGAAGAGACAAGGAACAAGAAGAAAAAATAAAACATATTTTAAAAACACTTTAATTAAGTGTGGAACAAATTTAAGTTCAGACCGAGTTTGCAACAGTTACACTGAGTTTATTATAGGCCCTGGAATGGATAGCAGAAATTGAACAGCAGCGATATACACTGTAGGTGTCATTTACATGACTTATTTGCATGTTAATTGTATTTTCATCCTACGCTTCCCTTAATGCACTGTCACCATCATGCAAGAGGCAGAGGTGATCTGCATATTAACAAGTTACAATGTGGGTAATGGTGCCACAATGTTGCTGTGACGGAGCGAGTCACAGGGTGACTGACTCCGCCACTGACAGCCGACACACACACCACACACACACCAAACATTTGCTGCTATGAACCATAAAATTTATTATTTATTGTGCGTTTGTTAATTTTGTTAAATGATTATGAGGTGGTTAACCTGTTTATGTTTGAGTCGGATTTTTTATGTAGAAATGTGGTGAGTCGATTGTGTCACCTGGGACCTGCTTGTCTCCTCCCCCCTCACCTGTGTCTAATTGCTCCCCCCTTACCTGTGTCATGTTAGTCTGGGTATTTAAAGCTGTTTTCTTGTTGGGCTGGGAGGGTGGGTGAGATCCTTGTGTTTTTTTTTGAGGACTGTGAAATTTGGACGAATGTTGCAATAAGGCAACAGCTGGGACATGTTGCAAGGTGGGTTGCAGAGAAGGCAAAGCTGTTGCCTTATTGCAACATTCGTCCAAATTTCACAGTCCTCAAAAAAAAACACAAGGATCTCNGTGTGTGTGTGTGTGTGTGTGTGTGTGTGTGTGTGTGTGTGTGTGTGTGTTTACCTTGAGCGTGTCGTTCAGTTTGTCGTCCTGCTCCTCCAGGTGAGTGAACTCCTTCTTCAGTTCTGAGTTTCTCCGGAGCAGCCGCCGCTTCTCCTCCTGCCGAACTACACACACACACACACACACACACAAATACACACACACACACGTATTAGTACAGGTATTAACACACACACACTTTTATAAATAACTCAGAGCGTTGCTCACCGGTCTTGTGTGTGACGTAGGACTGGACGAAGTTCTGCGGCCACGACATGTTCTCTTTGTTCAGCACCTGCACACACACACACACACACACACACACACACACACACACACACACACACACACACATTATTATAAAACCAGCTTCCTCCCACAGTCCATAAGACTTTGAAACACCTGAACTTCTTAAGATCTCTTCTGATCCTGTACATCAGATTCCATGTACTTGTACACAGACTCTTCGGGCACTATTTATATTGTATTTGTAACGTTCACGTCTCAGAACATTCTCTTGCACTATCGTATCTGTTTTATTAGTTTGATGTCCGATAGATATTCATGTAGCTCTGTTGGAGGAGGACTTCAGTTTGTCATCTCCTCTGTAGCTGCTGCATGCTGAGAGAGACTTGAACCTTGACTAATCTAACTAGAACGAACACACATATTATTATTATATTATTAACTTCTATATATATATATAATAAAGGTGGGGGGTGCAGTACCTTCTTCTGGCACTTGGGGCAGTACCAGGGTCCCCGGGGGGGGGTCCTGAGGGGGGGGTGCAGGCAGGTGGGATGAAAGGCTCGCGGACAGACGTGACACAGCTGGAGCTCTCCTTCCTCCTGACACACCGCACACACATCCTCATGCTCCACGTCCTCCTGAGGACACACACACACACACACTTTAAAGAGGCCCTCGTTCTGCTCCTGTAGTGTGTGTTCTATAGGTTTTAGTGCATGTAAATGGTCTGCAGAGGGTTACAAATCCCAAGGTTCCGGAACACGGTGACATCACAACGGAATTCTCACGCTCCTATTGGCTAGAAGCTCCAACACATTGTACGTGATAGACTAATGGGGGCGGGACATCTCTAAGTGGTTGAGCAATCACACCAGAGCCGGCCAGCTAACCAATCAGAGCAGAGCATTGTTAGAATCCTTGTGCTGACCTATAACTGTTGCTAGGCAGAATAGAGTCAAAGTAAAAGTACTTAGTTACTGTGTGTATCAGGGCAGACTTTCTTTAGGTACAATAATAAGTACCGTAATTTTCGGACTATAAGCCGCGCCTTTTTTCCCATTTTTCGACGCTGCGGCTTATATAACGGTGCGGCTAATCTATGGATTTTTACAGCTAACGGCCACTAAGGGACCTCCTAAATCTATGGATTTTACAGGTTACAGNTATGATATAAGGATATTTTCATATAATATTATTATAAAAATTGATTACTGTTACTTTTGAACTAATTAATGTAAAGCCTTTTTCCTATTTTTATCCGATACGCCCTTTTTCTTAGTTCATATGAGATAAAATCTTAGTTCCAAAAAGGCGCATGTGACTTTATTCCGAATTAAAAAAAAAATAGAAGAATATTTTTTTTCAATGAGTCAAAATATTGTTCATTAAGTATATTGTCATCCACATGTTTATGATGTTTTCATATTAAAGATTGAATTTAATAAACAAAGTCAGGACAAAGTATGGTCATTTTTTGTTTTGGCTCTCCTGTAAAGTTGGTCAAATGTCACTTACGCCCCTCTGGTTCTCACCCCTCGATATTGTCACGCTGAAGATTGCAATCAACATTGATGTCAGACATTGAAAATAAACTAAAATGAACAAACAAATAAAGAGCCCATTCATTATTCAGTTATTTATTACGATTTAATTCAATTATATGAACATTTTGTACATTTTTTGTCCACTTTAGCACACAAAACATTCTCCCTCAAAGGTCCTGCGTCATGCTTTTCTGGTTGTTACCCGTCCCTTGTGTTCTGTAGCTTCTGCATGTGAACACTGCACTCTTCCACCTGCAAAAAAAGATACTTCACAATATTAACAAAACCTAATAATCATTGTCACCTTGCTCCCAGAACAAGAGTACTGGTAACCGGGAACGTGGGTCCGTATGAGGAAACGTACCTCTGAGTGATGTCTTTGCTCACTTTCTTGGAGGTGGCTGTCAGCAGCGACCCGAGGTCCTCCAAGAAGAAATTAATAGCAAAAGCTGGAGAAATATGGACGTGTGAGGAGACCTTCTCAAAAGGATATGTGTTTTCCCACCTGGTTGCCTTTACCTACGTGGAAATCATAGCCCCGCCCACCTCCCCCCTAGAATTTGGCCATCCCCTGATCGACCTTAATCTCTCTGAACTTTAAAAATCAAAAACATGAATACAAGCATCTACAAACTTTAAAAACAAAATAATCACATGTAAAAAGACATTTAAATACGTTTAATAGTCTGACAAGTCATTTTAAATTGTTATTTAGGGAATGTAAACACATACGGGGAAATCTCAGCCTGAGGAGAAGACAAGAAACGCATGTGAAATAACCTGAAGGGTTGTATCTGTGTGTGTGTGTGTGTGTGTGTGTGTCTACAATGTGTGTGTGTGTGTGTGTGTGTGTGTGTGTGTGTGTGTGTGTGTGTTGTGTGTGTGTGTGTGTGTGTGTGTGTGTGTGTGTGTGTGTGTGTGTGTGTGTGTGTCTACAATGTGTGTGTGTGTATACAGTGTGTGTGTAGCAGTTTCTCTCCAGGGAAATCTGCCGGCCTCTGCAGCATCGACGACACACCCTGCACAGAATATATAAATAAATAAAAACACGCATATACTGTATATATACGACATACATATATATACACATATATATATATATATACATATATATACAGATATACATACACATATATATACACACATATACACATATATATATGTGTATATATATACACATATATGTGTATATATATACACACATATGTGTATATATATATACACATATATGTGTATATATATATATGTGTATATATATACACATATATGTGTATATATATATATGTGTATGTATATCTGTACATATATGTATATACACATATATGTGTATATATATATATGTGTATATATATATATGTGTATATATATACACATATATATATGTGTGTATATATGTGTATGTATATCTGTATATATATATACACATATATATATATATGTGTGTATATATATATACACACATATATATATACACACACAGGCCTGTGTATGATCCTCAGGAGGAGCTGCAGCTCAGTGATTCATGACACACAAACACCAAAATATGTGTAATTATGTAGAAACTGAGTCCATGGCCCTTTCTCATTTCATCAAATCCCCCTCCTCGTATCCTCAACTCCTTGGTTCTCCGGTAGTGACCCGGATATGAATTTCAGCGCGCCATGTTGAAGGACATCTCATTTCTCTAAATGCACTTCGAGGACCGAGGATCGAGCGTCGAGGAGGCTCTCTGGAGGAGCTCTAACCGAGGAGAGAGGAGGCTCTCTGGAGGAGCTCTAACCGAGGAGAGAGGAGAGAGGAGAGAGGAGGCTCTCTGGAGGAGCTCTAACCGAGGAGAAGAGTGTCTACAATGTGTGTG